CAATACTGTTGTTTTATAGATAAAGAAACTGAGGCCTAAAAAGAGAGTAGATTCTCTTTTCTTAATACACAGGCCTCCCTCTTTTCCCATTCATCTCTAATTTTTTTAAATATACATTCACATTTCTTACTTACCACTACCATCTCCACACTTTCATATTATTGATCTTGGTCTTGTTCAGGGTTCATTGGCAACAGCAGGTTGAATATGAGAGATTCCTGAAGCACAAATAGTGATTGAGCAGTTAAAACTTAGATCACATTCACTGCAATTATCAGAGACTGAACAGAGTAGGCATGTGCTCCTTGAGCTTTCCTGAATCTAGAAGGAGAAATTTATAAAGAAGCACATCTCAAATCACTGAGACAACCCATGATGCTTAATGAAAGCAATCAATGATCCAATCTGGAGAAAAAAAATTCAAGAACTTCAACAGTGGTTTGATTGTTTTTAGCAAGCACAAGTGTTAGAGGAGATGTGAAGTAGTAGAGAAGAAAAAGCAAATGTGTACAGAGAAGACTTAAAAGAGAGACAACTCCCTCAAGGGACCAAATGGCCCAGGGCTGGGCAATAAATCGCTGGACAGTTTTTCAAAGTCTGAGAAATCTGTGTTTATAAGTTAGCTGAAACACCTGCTCAGGTTTCACTTTTGGGTGACTTATGTTCTGTAGAATTTAGCTTGAGTTTTAAGGTGATGAGTGATTAGTGAAGCTGACCCTGATCCCTACTGAATTATTCAAATTAAATGGATTGCATTTTGCACAGAAAACATGCGTTGTTAAAGTATCAGGCATCAGCTTCTCTGAAAAGAAATAAGCAATGGAATGAACTCTCAACATTTCCATTTACTTTTTTATTTTGAACTTGTAATAGACTCACAGAAGTTGCAAAAATAGTATGGAGAGGTCTTGTGTACTGTTCAAACAGCTACCTTCCTCTCACTTCCCATGGTAATATTTTATATAACCCGAGTTCATTACTAAAACCAGGACATTGACATCAATATCATACAATTAACTAGTCTACAGATCTTACTCAAATTTCATCAGTTTTTACAAGAACTTATTTTTTATGTGTGTAGTCCTAAGAATATTTATCCCATTTATAGATTACTGTAACCACCCCTATAGCTGAGATACAGAACCGTTGCCTCGCCTCAAAGGAGGAAAGGAACCTTTCACCTTACTCAGCTGCAGTCACCTTCCATTAACTTTTTATATGAGTGAATGCACCATGTAGTCCATTTTCCTTATTTGTTATTCATGAGACAGGAAACAGTTTTTATTTGAGGGGAAATGGCATGAATTATTTTGCTTTCAAAGAAAATTTTAAAAAAATTGAGATGAAGCTTTCTGTAAGATTATAATGCCATAGATGATATATTCCATGCTGGATTATACAATATGGTATAGTTCAAATTCTAATATCTTTCTTGCACAACATCAAAGAAATTCTTTGAAAGGTATAAAGCCTGACAGTTTACAGCTGTGGGTGACAGAATTGTAATGAAGTGATAAGATGCTATGTCAAATATAGTGATAGCCTCTCTGTCTGGTCCTATTGAGTGAGAATTTTGACCAATTCATGCAAACATTTTCCTGTGTATAGAATTTCAGTTGATGTTCTGATATTCCATTTTTCTTTATATATATCTTGGATAGAGAGTGTCTTAAAGGTTCATCTTCTGTGTGACAGAAAGAAAATACATATTTAGAAATTATTTAAAGGTTAAAAATCAGATGGTCTTAAAGTAGGAATTTCATATGCATATGCTTGGTAAGCAGGTAAGTCAAGTACAAGTGTGAAAATGCAGAATACAAATAATGGTAACCTATAACATATTAAAGGAATTTGAACTCAAGTAATGCTCAATTGGCTAAACAAAGCTCATAAGACAGCCTAGCTCAACTTGTAAGCCATGAGTTTACAGTTACTCTCTTTAAGAAAGAGATGATTAAGCTTCAGAACTTTGAAAAAATTAGAATTTGTCTTAGGAAAATAATGAAACTCCATAAGGAGAACTGCCTACAAATAAGTTAAATCTTCAACTTGTCTTCCATTGCTGAACTAGGTTCATGTGATGTTGTAATCATAGAATGAAGAGGGGTAGACCAAGCCAAAAGAGGCCAGAAAGGGGACAGGCTCAGGATGAAAGGAAAAAGAAAAGATATATTCGAAACACCAGTCAGATCCTTTCTGGATCTCATACTTCCTCAGTTTCAGCACCAGAGTTAGTGTAGATGTTTGTTTTGTGGTTTTCATTTTCTCTCTGCGAAAACATTCTTCCTGATAAAGATGGCCATGACATTCTAGCAGGACTGCCCACCACTTAGGGAGAGCTGCTCGGGAAGGGCAAATCTTGAGTTGTGAGCAATGACGCTTGCACTCAGTCTGGGTCTTGGTGGGAGTGGGGACTTCCAAGGCAAGTAGTCAGGCAAATAGCAGCCATGGTAAGGGTCTATGTCTAAACCAGGGTCAGAAGAGCAAACTCAATTATTTCTATGCAGACTCATTGTTTTGTTCCTCATCTGCTTTAATGCATTGGACAGATCTTTGTAGATGAAAAGATAGAAAACACTGGGCCCAATTTGAAATATTAGTTTATTTTTTGAGTAGTTCTATTTGTTTGTAAAGGTTGGTACTTCATTATTTTTATTTTTGTCTTTGATGTTTTCCAAAGAACAAAGAAAAAAATTTACTTTTTTAACAGATATAATAAAACTGATTTTATATTGCAATTATTATACAGCTCCATCTGTTATCAATCAGTATTTTCTCAACCTAAGTTAGGTTATTGATTTTCAGTGATCTTACTTTCCTGTATATTATCAATTATTCCCAACTACAATGACAAACAATGATGAAATAGCCCAGAGGAATAATGAAATAGTCAAACGAATTATTACTATTATACTATCCTTCAGTTTTTTGCATTGTTTTGCTTAAAGTTTCATATCATCTTTAAAGAAGGTATAAACGAAGTCTAGAACCATCATCTTTATAGTTTAATTCTTAGCTTTTATTAAATACAGTTGAGAATCCAGGAATTTTTGAATGTTTCTCCATAATGACAAAAAGAAAGATTTGACAGAGGAAGAGTTTACAGATTGGCTAGATGAGGATAAATGCAAAGAGACAACAGTGTTCTTCAACATTTTAACAATGGTGTGAAATTGATTGTATAATAAAATTTCAGAGTGTGAGGCTTCAGATGGCAATATCTTAGGTAAATTTTTCCAAATTTAGTAGTAGATGAATGAATTACACATTTGTAAAGGCAAAATGAAAATATGGTATTTTCATTGTCATGCAACAGAAAGGACTTTATTATGCAAACATTTGGTGACCAGAATCTAGACTATTCTACTGTGCCAAAAGGCACACTACACATTCTTTCATCATTCATAAAGTTTGTGCACTGAAATCTACTTGATATCATTAATAAATGCAAAGTTATATATACAAAGTTTAGCAGTAAGAAATAGATGTTGTAGTAATGAAAAATCAATCGCATTCATCATTCTAACTGGTATTTATAAATCCAAAAATTAAAATGTGTTATAATGATGAAGCAAATAAGATGACCATTTTCTTTTCAATATAATTATGCAACTCAAAATTTATAAAGTATAACATTTTGATGATACAACTGCATGAAGCCGAATTAGAAGTAATGACAAGATGGAGCCTAGAAGAGATATATTTGAAATCTGAGATCAGAATTTCTAAGTTGGATATGTCCCTGTAGTTGCATTCAAAGGGCATTGACTTTTTTTGTCCTTCCCTCTCTCCCTCCCTCCCTTCCTTCCTTCCTCCCTTCCTCCCTCCCTTTCTCCCTCCCTCCCTCCCTCCCTCCCTTCCTTCTTCTTCCTCCTTCCCTCCCTCCCTTCCTTCCTCCCTCTTTTTCCTCCCTCCTTCCCTCTGTCCATTCCTTCCTTCCTTTTTTCCATTCCCTTCCCTCCTTGCTCCTTCTTTCCTTTCTTCATTTTCTTTCTGCATCTACTTATCCATCTCTCTTTAATAAAAATTTGGGTGTGCTATATTTAATTCTTATTAAAATGTCTAATAAGGTTTTTTCCCACTCTGCCTTTATGCTGACTTTTGTAATTATTCATGAGATCACAAACATATGGAAACCAAAAAGAGGCTATTGTGCCCAGATGGTGGTTATATCTACTGTCCTGGTGTACTGTGGGTTAAATGGGGTAGAAAAGACAATACTTACTCAGTGTACATTAAGAACTCCTGGATGTTATTGTCTACTTTTCTTATTTAAACATGTATTTGATAAAAATTTTGTGAAACACATGACATATATTATGAGGAGTATTGGCCTGAAGCTGACACAACGTGATTCACAAAATGATCCTCATTTTGCCACACTTCTGTGTGATCTTAAGTAAACGATTTTGTTTTTCTGGACCTTAATTTTCTAATTTTGTAAAATGAGTGGGTAAGAAAGCTTTTCTGTCTTATGCACGATGAAAGATGTAGTCATGTTGAAGTGGATGAAATCTGCTGTTTTCTTTTGTAGGCCATCAACACATACGTGGGCCAATTCTATTCCTTAAGTTGTTTTGTTGGAGACTGAAGCAGATATTATCCCATCATCTTTCTCATAAGCCAATCTTTCATCTAACTATTCCTTCCTTCAGCCACCAAATACTTAAGTACCTGTTTCATGTCAGCTGCTGAGGAAAAAAAATAAGACCTTGTCCTTAAAAGTCACATGTGTCAGAAGTAAACTCAGCAAATCACATAGTGTTGTGATGTGAATCTAAGATATGGAAGCAGTTCAAAGAAGGGAGTTATGTCATCCCTGGGTGCATTGATGGTGAGAGTAGATATGCTAAGAAAAGAAGTAAGGGAAAATGTGATCTTTGAGCTGATATTCATACCAAGTAGTATAGTAATCCTTTCATTTGTACTATTTGTTCCAAGGCAGAAGCATCTGTTACTGAGCAAAAGGGGCATACTGCTCAATGTGCTAGAAGCCAGTACTATGACGCTGGGTTTTTGAGTAAAGAAATTATTTTTATTACAGGTTGACCAATAAGGAGACTGGAGTGGATCTCAAACCTGTCTCCCTATGCTTACTTTAAGGCAATATTCTTATTAGAAACAGTTTGGGGGGTGGATTTTGAGATTAGCAGGTGATTGATGAAAGAAAAGGGGATATCTGGAAAGTCCTCAGACATGCAGTTATCTCTTCATTGGTCACATGGGCAAATTCCATGGGAGTTAGTATGAAACATGCCATAGAAATTTGGTCTCTGACACCAGCAAGTTCGTTCTGTGCAGAATCCAGTCAGCCATATTGGGTTTTTAATGAATGTAGCCAGCGTTTTAATCTCACAAGCATAGAGTGTCAGCATTTCAGCAAGTTGTATCTTTTCTTATCTGTCATCCTGTGAGGTCAAGAGTTTCTATCAGTCACTGGTTTCTTTAACTCTTTGGGGTATGGTTTCAAGTCCACAATGGCCAGGTGGCCATCTCAACATCCATCTTAATGGAACCATTGTCAATTCACCTGAAATCATCATCCCTCCCTTGGAAACTAGAACCCCTAAGCCAACACTCAACACTGTAGGTATGAAAAGTAAATATCTGTGTGTCATTATTAGATGTAGTAGTGAAGGGAGACACTCCTACTTCCAGTCGTTGATTCTCAAACTGTATTTCCTAGTTTTATGGGAGCAGTTTCAGGAAGCCATTACATTGTTCTATCCCAAAGTGAGCATCACTGCACTTCTTTTGCTATGAAATAGTTACTTGGTTAGAAGCATTTTTGTGGGTAAAATATCATAAGTGAACACAGCATTCCAAGCTTACAGTCAGTTGTGATGACAGAGGCATTGTGGGTTGGCAGGGAATATCCATATTCAGAATACATATCTGTTCCAGTGAGGCCAAATTTTCCCTCCTTCCACTTTGGAAGTGGTGCAATGAAATCAGTCCTTCATGACGTGCTGGCTGGTCTTCCTAGAGAACCGTGTTACATCAGGGATTTGCTTTAGCCTCTGCTATTGGATGATTACACATTTAGAAGTAGCAGTCACCAGATCAGACTTAGTGAGGAAAAGTCCTTTTGGTGGTTTTAAAATTTGTTCACAAATTCTTTTATATACTTCCTTTCAAAAGATGGAGCTGAATTCCCCTCCTTCAGTGTGCAATGAACAAAATGATTTGACTCTAATGAATAGAGTGTGGCAGGAATGATGCATTTGACTTCCAAGCCTAGGTCATAAAAGGTTGGATTCTGCTGGTTCTCTGGGGATGTGGGTGGAGTAAGGAGAGGAAGACATGTTTTGAGGACACTTAAGCAACCTTTGGAAAGGCCCACATGGGAAGGAATTGAAACCTCCTACCAAAAACCAGCACTAATTTGCTATTTATGTGAAGAAGCCACAGTGAAAGAGAGCCTCCAGTGTTGGTCAAATCTTTAGGTGACTGCAGTTACATCTCACAATTTAAATATGACTTCGTGAGAGGTCCTGTACCAGAACCACCCGGGTAAGCCATTCCCAAATTCCAATAGGAAGAAGTAAGTACCCATGGAATAGATTCTGTATTTTCTAATCCAAATTCCCTCTTTATATATCATCCCAGATATTAAAAACAACAAAACATAGGCCCTTATTCTTTCTTACTGCCTTATTTTACATTCACAGTAAGGGTGAACGAACTGGACTTTTTTGCTGTTTTTCTCACATATACAAACATAAGGTATCTTAGATAAATATTTACATTAAGTAAATGTATTTTTTGTGAATAATGTTTTGCAGATAATATAGGGACCACATTAGAGATTCCCTGCCCTACTTTCCTCATCTCTACAAGGAATCTCAGTGAGAGATAAGACATAGAAGTAAAATACATTAATACAATTTTAAATATCAGAGTATAGCTTAATATATCAACAGGTTAAGAAATAATATATTTGTAATTCTAACAAATCAGATTAAAAAATTAACTTCTTTTATTGTATATGGTAATTGGAGAAAATATATGTAAGTACAAATAAATAGGGAATCATAAATAAATTAGAAAACATTCATCATTCCATTATCCACAGTAAACACTATTAATATGTTATTTCCTATGCTTCTATCTATATATTTTATTTTTAAACATGGATCATGTGGCAACTACTCTTTTACGATCTCTATTTTACATAGTGTTTATGAACATAATTCTGTCGGTATTCTTATGTTTCATAATTAATAGATATATAATTTTCTATCATATACGCAAAATTATTGAGTAAATCTATCAGATATTTAGAGTGTTTCCAATATATTTGCTATTCACAGTAACACACATATTATGTATATTGATAATTATTTTCTTAGGATAATAGAGTGAAAGAATTTAGAGGTTTACTTGCAACTTTCCTTGAGAAAGGTTTCAAATAAGAACCTTTGTGGTGAGTTGATATCATGAATGTTGGTATAAATTCTTAAGAGGTAAAAGTTCAAGTCACGGCCGGGCGCAGTGGCTCACGCCTGTAATCCCAGCACTTTGGGAGGCCGAGGCGGGTGGATCACGAGGTAAAGAGATCGAGACCATCCTGGTCAACATAGTGAAACCCCGTCTCTACTAAAAATACAAAAAAAAAATTAGCTGGGCATGGTGGCGCGTGCCTGTAATCCCAGCTACTCGAGAGGCTGAGGCAGAACTGCCTGATCCCAGGAGGCGGAGGTTGCGGTGAGCCGAGATCGCGCCATTGCACTCCAGCCTGGGTAACAAGAGTGAAACTCCGTCTCAAAAAAAAAAAAAAAAAAGTTCAAGTCACTTTATCCTGATGATCAACTAGATTAGCTGTTAGTTGGTAGGGTTTGGATTTACCTAAGACTATGCAGGTTTGTTATGTTTCTTATAGTTCAAGACCTGGGAAAGCTGTTACATGTGTAAACATATCAAACCAATCTGGTTCAACTTTTATATAACAAAATTATGAGTTGTTTTTCATTTGCCATGGCCTCCCGGGTTGAAGGTCATAGAACCTTAGCACTGGTGGAACCTAAGTGCTCAGACCAAAGAATGGCGATTTAATTAAGAAGTGGATACAACATGGTAGGATCCAAGATCTAATCAGATCAAGCTCTGGCATCACTTCATGGAAGGATCCAGTCTGAGCAGGTCTCCTGGCATCACACCGTTAAAAGATCCAATCAGAGTAGACTTCATTACCCTCTGACTATAAAACCTGTCCCATTCCCAAGCTTGAAGAAATAGATTTAAGCTTTTGCTCCTATCTTCTTGCTGGTTGATTTGCAACAAAGCTTTCCTTTCCTCAAAGCTGATGTCTAGTAGTGCCTCCCATGCACATAGGGCAGTGAGCCCGTTGATTGCTCAGTAGTATGTAAACAGACTAGGAAAAATCCTAGTCCTTGCTGTTTACAAGATCAAATTTTGGCAGATGAGACTCTCTCTACCATTGTGGATGCCCCTCTACACTCTGCTGTACTGCACTGCAGAGAGCAGCTCACCCTGATTCTGCCCAACATATTCTCAGGGAAGGTGTTGTATAAAGCAAGGTTGGTGCCACTAACAAAAAGCTGTTGGTTAAAACGGATGGCAAATCTTTAAAGTTTACTTAGAAGCTCCTGAAACCAAGAGGCCACTGATTGCTGAAACCAAGAGGTCATTGAGTGCTGATCTTGGAGCAGTGGCTCCTAAACTTTATCATGGATAATTATGACTGAGGTGCTGATTCAAATGTCTCAAACAAACTCTTTCTGTTTATTAAGGCTGAAGATGATACATACTCTTCTTATCAAGCCCTCTAAGTGTTTCTGATACAGATGGTCTTGCCTATAGCGCACACTTTTTTTTTTGAGACCGAGTCTTACTCTGTCACTGGCCTGGAGTGCAGTGGCGCAATCTCGGCTCACTGCAACCTCTGCCTCCTGCCTTCAAGCAATTCTTCCGCCTCAGCCTCCTGAGTAGCTGGGACCACAGGTGCGCGCCACCATGCCCAGCTAATTTTTTTGTATTTTTAGTAGATACAGGGTTTCACCCTGTTGGCCAGGATGGTCTCGATTTCTTGACCTCGTGATCTGCCTGCCTTGGCCTCCCAATGTGCTGGGATTACATATAGAGCACATTTTAAAAAATGTACTCCAACATTGTGTAGTTTGCCACCCTCATTTTGATAGTCATGAAAACTGAACTCAGAGCAATGATCAAATACTATGAAATTCACACAGTGTCTGGCTAAAACTTGACTCTCCTCACTTCCAAATTAATAGTATTAAAATGATACCCAAGAACCTCACTTTAAGAGAAAAGAATGCATTATTGGCATAGGAGATTTTTTCTCTTAACAACAACAATAAAAGTTGTTTGGCAGAAATCATGAAAACTTGGACTAGCATGTCCCAAGCATCAAACAGAAAAAGGCTGCTCCTGTGGAAAGAATGCATAGGCAACATGGCGCTAAGAGACTGACGATTCCTGCAAGTACAAAGTCTCAAAATACAAATGACAAACTATGTTTGCACAGTTTCCTAGGAGCTTAAAGCACTCGGTGGACAATTTTTTATCACGAGTAATTCTTACACTTGACTCATTATTACTGATTCCATCTTACTTCCATGGAGACAAAAACCCGAAGAGAAGTGCCTGGTTTGTGGTAATGACGGCGGTAGTGCAGACAGCTTAGGGGCTGAGGAGCTGCGTCACCTTCTGTTAAGATGACTGGCCCATAATCAGATGAGCCCTCAGGTCTCCACTTGGCATTGGAGGACAACTTTTAAGTATGACCTGAGCATATGCCTTGTTCTATAGATTTGAGATTCCTTTTTAGGCCTATTGTTTTAAGGTCCTACAGCCTAACTTCGATGTACAGATATAGATAGATAGATAGATAGATAGATAGATAGATAGATAGATATTACCACCTATATCCCAAGCAGATTGGATATAACTAAGAATAATCACTGTCAGTGCTGGAAGTAATGAAAGTAGAATACAGAAGGAGAAGCAGGTTAATTTACATATTGACTTGGCCCAATGCCACCTGTGTGGGAAGTACAGGATGATGTACAAAGCAACTACCTGTAGCACCATAAAAAATGGTCTTGGAAATCTTGGTCCCAGTATATAGATTATCAGGTTTAATTTGAGCACTAGAATATGAGCCTTACTTTACTATTTTTCTTTTTAATATTTGGGGAAAAAGAAAATTGCTGTACATAGAAAAAATGATCAATATATTGGAATACCTAAGAAGAACTTAATTTTAAAAATAAGTTGCATGTTTGAAACTCATATAATAAATTGCCAGTGTGAGTTATACATTTCTGAGGTTTGTTTACTTTTTATAACTTATAAGAAGTTGCCACTACTTTGCATTTATTTATTCAATTTCTATGTACTGTGAACCTCAATGGAAACAATGGGGTCAATGGAAACAATGGTAATACTGCTCAAAGTGAATAACCTGTTTCTATTTATTAATTAAAAGTTTTATATGTTTACTTTTTCTATTTATATGCAATTAATAACAGTTTTAGGCAAATAGTCTCATTAGAAGGTTTGGCTTAATGACTATGAAGAATGAGAGCTCCAAATTAATTGTTTAGTGAACTAAAAAGGTGAATAACATTTGTCTAAATCTTTTCTTGGCCTAATGAACAGATATTTTCTACTTTGCAATAAATGTCTTCCTTTAGACATGTATTTTTGTAATCCTGATCTTTAATATAGACTCAATTATTGGCTAAGTGGAGCTTCTCTGCATAATTTTATTGCCATCTTATAAAGTATAGAATTTTTATTTTGCCCGAAGAAAGGATAAAAATGAGAATGATTGATGATTCCTATTTATCTTAAACACTGAAAAAATGTAATGCCATATTTGCTTCTGCCATCAGTATGAATTTTTCATTTTAGTGTCATGGGGGAAAATTGTGCAGCAATAGTTCCGTATCGTATTGTAAATTTTTTTCTTGCATGTACATAGAATATTTGCTTTCCCAGACAACTTTCTGTTCTTCCTCTTTTCCACCAAGTTTTTTCATAATTTAGATAATAAAGTCAACTTGGCATTGGAGAAACTCAGACATAGAAAGATATTAAATAACATTCTCAAGCTAGTACAAGCAATTTGTGACTTAGGTGTGATCGCAATAGGTGGTGATTTTTTTCACCACATCACATATCCATTTTATATGTGAAAAACAGAATATTCTTAATGTTGAAATGTTCTCTCAATTGTATAATAATGTTTGAGACATGTAACATCTTTGCAAGTCATGCCATATTGAGATGCTATTCCCAGTAGACCATGAATATGTGTATGCATCTGTAATTACTGATAAACTCTTACTTGTTGTGATTACATTGGAAAGAATGAAGCACATTCTTTTCATGCTAATCTGAATGTCCGTGCAGATTTACTGCTTAGAACACATTTATTTGTTTGTTGCAACATCTGCTAAACCTGTCTGTGCCTTATTAAAATAGCAGACCTAAGTATCAAGTGGTGTCATTGGACATCACTCTTG